TTTTTTATTTTTCTGCATTAGTTTTTTTTTGAAATTTTGGTTTGTTACCTTTTAGCCCAAAATTTTTAAAGGTAGCCATCCTTTTCGAAAAACTTTGTACTTCATTGCTAGACCAATTTCTTGTTTTACTGTGACAACTTGAGTTGCTGCCAGCTAATTTTCTTGAAGTTCTTCTGATTTTGCTTTAGTTTCAAACATCGATAAACATAAACGAAAACTTTTGAAGTGTTTTGGTTGTTAATTTAAAATTTTTCAATTTAACTTTTTAACTACTACTACTACTAAAAGACTTTAGTCCCTATATAGATGGCAAAAATACAAGTATGAGCATTAAGATCTACAAGTTAAACAGCGCCAATTGATAAAAAAGGTACAGGAGTTTTCAGGGTTGAAATCTGATATCGATAGTTTTAAAAAGATTTCAGGGAGTTTTCTCTTTGCACTGGCGGTTTCTCCTGGCGAAGGTCAATCCCATATTTCGCTGACACGTTGTTGGCATTAGCAGTTATCCGGATAAAATATAACACCCATGTTGAAGTTTTGCACACTTTTGGAATATCGAACAAAGTCCTTAGTGCAGCGCAACTGCCAGGTCTAAGAAAAAAAATTTACATGATCATCAACTTTGATATCGTAATTGTTTTGTAAGATGTTGCAGAATAAAACAAGATCCGAGTAAACAAGCTAGTAGCAGATAGGTAAAAGGTTAATAGACGCAAAAGATTTTATGTATTCATTAATTCACAAATCCACTTTATTGTTTTGCGTTGTACATTTTCCAGCTTTCAAAGAGAAGCAATGTTTGGTTGCCATATGCATGAATTAAAAAGAAGGGTACTTCTGACACATGATATTTAGAGTTGAAGTTTTGTTATCGTTGGAGTGTTATATGGGATGTTGCGTTTTGAACTGAAGAAGCAACGCAGAGCCTTATCAGATTTAGTGTTAACGTGTTCGGTCCAGGAGAGGTTTGGTGTATCAAATAAGCATAAGTCTTTTATAGAAGGTACACGTTCAATAACTAGACTGTTAAGAAATTACTCGTGTGGCGTGTTGCAAATATGTTTTGTTTTAATCTGGATGGATTATAAGACCATTTTCGACAGATTATTGATAAACATTATCAATATCATTCTGAAAATTGATCGAAGATGAAATTGAAATATATGTACTTTCGGGCAAATGTTAGCAACCCATTCCTTAACTTTTGGCTTCCCATAGCCTGAAAATTAAAATAGATGTTAAAATATAAATTCAGAACATCTCAAAAGGCTAAAAGATAATAAAATGACCGTTCAGGAGTGTGACTCCAGACCCTTCGGGTTTTTTCAATATCCTTGAAGTAACGCTTTCTTCACAACCAGGAAGGGTTGATGTCTTCAACTTCAGCCTTCCTGATTTGTTCAATAACTCCGGTAACGATTGTAACAGCACAATCATTACAACTCCGAAAGCTTTTTCTCAATGGTTGCTTCTGTTAACGTTGTTGCGTTTCGTTTTTTTTTTGCCCGCGGTGGTTGATCTCTTTTCTACTGGAAAGAATCGCGTTTCTGATTTTGCTCTGTTTCTCAATTTTTGCAAAAATAAAACGATCACGTGTCATGCACGCTCGAATCGAAATTAATAAAATAATTTTTCGATTCAAATTAATCCTTCCGGATTCATCCAATTAGACGATTAACAACATTAATCTTCCCATACAGTCGATTTTTTAGTCGAACGGTTCGAATAAAGGTTCTTTTGCCGCTATGCATTTTTGGTCATTCTGGTCAAATGTCAAATAAAGATTAGACTGCTTAAAAAACTCATCTGGTAACGATTTGTCGTCTGAAATAACCAGAAACAATTTGAAGTATTATCGCTTAATGAGTTTGCTTTAAAATTTCAAATTACGCTTGCAATTAGCAAGCGTTATTTTTGACCATTTGAAAAAATTTATACGCCAGGTGTTGCTAATGGTTGCTCGATCGGCTGTATGTATTGCGTTCTTTTTGGTGCAGATAAAATAGCTCATTAGTTTTTACGCATTACTTGTTTTGGATTTTTTAAATTTTCTGCATTAGTTTTTTTTTGAAATTTTGGTTTGTTACCTTTTAGCCCAAAATTTTTAAAGGTAAATATCCTTTTCGAAAAATTTTGTACGTCATTGCTAGACCAATTTCTTGTTTTACTGTGACAACTTGAGTTGCTGCCAGCTAATTTTCTCGAAGTTCTTCTGATTTTGCTTTAGTTTCAAACATTGATAAACATAAACGAAAACTTTTTGTAGTGTTATGGTTGTTAATTTAGAATTTTTCCATTTAATTTTTTAACTACTACTACTACTAAAACACTTTAGTCCCTATAATGATGGCAGAAATACAAGTATGAGCATTAAGATCTACATGTTAAACAGTGTCAATTGATAAAAAAGGTACAGGAGTTTTCAGGGTTGAAATCTGATATCGATAGTTTTAAAAAGATTTCAGGGAGTTTTCTCTTTGCACTGGTGGTTTCTCCTGGCGAAGGTCAATCCCATATTTCGCTGACACGTTGTTGGCATTAGCAGTTGTCCGGATAAAATATGTCACCCATGTTGAAGTTTCGCACACTTTCGGAATATCGAACGAAGTCCTGTGTGCAGCGCGACTGGCAGGTCTAGGAAAATAAAAACTTACATGATCATCAACTTCGATATCGTAATTGATTTGTAAGATGTTGCAGCATAAAACAAGATCCGAGTAAATGAGCTAGTAGCAGATAGGTAAAAGTTTAATAGACGCAATTGATATTTTGTGTTCATTAATCCACAAATCCACTTTATTGCTTTGCGTTGTACATTTTCCAGCTTTCGAAGAGAAGCAATGTTTGGTTGCCATATGCATGAATTAAAAAAAGAAGGGTACTTCTGACACATGATATATAGAGTTGAAGTTTTGTTATCGTTGGAGTGTTATATGGGATATTGCGTTTTGAACTGAAGAAGCAACGCAGAGCCTTATCAGATTTAGTGTTAACTTGTTCGGTCCAGGAGAGATTTGGTGTATCAAATAAACCTAGGTCTTTTATAGAAGATACACGTTCAATAACTAGACTGTTAAGATATTACTCGTGTGGCGTGTTGCAAATAAGTTTTGTTTTAATCTGGATGGATTATAAGACCATTTTCGACAGATTATTGATAAACGTTATCAATATCATTGTGAAAGTTGATCGAAGATGAAATTGAAAGAAGTCTTAAACCATCAGCGAACAGATAGCAAAACGAAGAGAGAACTCGCTCTGGTGTATCATTTATGAATTTTCAAATTAAAATCGGGCCTAGAATCGGGCCCACTAGGAACAGAGCACGGCGAAGAAAGGACTTTGCTAATATGTACACGTTGCTTGCGATCAGAGAGATATGAATTAATAGGTTGTACAAATTTCTTGTAGAAGCCAAATTTTTCTAATTTAAAAAGTAATCTGTTGTGTGAAACACTGTCGAATACATTTTAAAAATCAAAATATACATACCTAAAATCTTCATTTTTATCGTTAAAATAATAGAGTTTATCAGCATAATCAAGCAGTAGCGTAAACGTACTTCTTCGAGATCGAAAGCCATGTTGACAGTCAGAGAAATTATTGCGAATTTTTTCATGAATAAAGTTGTACAAAACTTTTTCCATTACGAGCGAAATTTTTGGAAAGATGCTAATCCCATGGTAGTTTTTGATATCTGCTTTAGATGCCGATTTATGCAGTGGCGTTATGTATGCATTTTTCAAGGAAATAGGCCATGTAAGAGCGATTACTGTTTGGGTAAACTAAATAGAGGCAAAGGGGGCGATAAAACTCGCACCTGTTTTTTTTTAAACAAAAGTTTGTAATGAAAATTTCCATCTTTTGAGGTAGGGGTAAACTAAACGTCCAGATAATATTGATAATACATAATACGTTTTTGGAGTAATTTAAAAAACGGTTCGATTGGACGCTTTCATTTTTTGTTTAATCAAAGGTAGTTAAGTTGCGTTTCTCTGATTGCTTTTTTGCTCAACTTTCTCTTTGTTTTAACTTGTTTTCGTCTGAGTGGAGTTCCTTTTTTAGGAATTAAAATTGGCGTTTGTTTTCGTTTTCAGAATCGTTGTTTGTTTTGGGTCTAGGACAACAAGCAGACGGGACTTCAAGCCGAAATTTAAACTTTACATACACCTCAAATCACTATTTTTTATCGGTTAAATGGTGCTTTCAGAAATTTGAGGCCAGAATAAGCGTTATTCATGACAATAAATCACTCAGAATTGGCATCCGTTAAAAATATCAGCCGGTTTTTGAAATGCATAAATGATACACAAAAAAATTGCCTTCAACAGTTTTTTTTTCAACTTTCCTATACATCATTTGGAGGCTAAAATTTTAGGAAGACGCCGATAACTACTGAAGAAAGATCATGTAATATAGTTTATCTTCAAAAAAAGTTTTCAAATTAATCATATTTTATGAGCTGAGGAGAACATTTTCGGCTTGAAGTCCCTAATTTTACTATTCGGCTTGAAGTCCCGTCGGCCTGATGTCCGGCACCCGTTTGTTTATAGTGTCTAGTTCTTGTTTTTTTTTTTACCAGTGCCAGTTTCTTGTTGTTGTACCTCTTTGTATGATTCGAATTTTATTGGAGCAATTCTTTGTTTAAACTAGAAGAAAAAATTTTAAGATTTGCAATTGTTTTTTTTTTAAAAAAAGGTCAATTAAAATGGGCCCATCCGTCATGCGACGGTACGTGCACAGGTTGGATAGGGCCGTACCAACGCAATTGTTTTTAAAGGTTTTTGAAATGGTTACATAGCAGTATTTAGACAACCGCGCATTCAGACTCGTCAGTATTTAGACAAATACTGTTTCAACCAATCAGAATCGAGACAAAGAAGAAATTAATAAATAATTATAATTTATTTTGGATTATTTATGTCTTTTCTCGATTCTGATTGGTTCATACAGTATTTGTCAAAATACTGACGAGTATGAATACGCGGTTGTCTAAATACAGGCTGCACTCCTTTTGAAATGTATCCTTTTCAATAGCTTTGTGTTTTCAGACACGTTTAGAGTTTTTTCAAGTGAAATGATATGTTGTTTCAATCTTGTTTGTTTTGGCTCTGGCAAAATGAAATAAAATTGCTTGGTAATTGTATAACTTTGTCTAATCTGAAATTAATCGAAACTAATTTTTTTCATAAATATGCTGTTTACAAATAGTTTCATCGCGTGTCTTCTGCATAGCAAGCAAGTTTAAAACCTCAGTTAGAGCCAAACTGATAATGTTGCTTGTTAAGTTTTCAAAAATGTTTTGCAACAATTTTCTGTTTTGCTTTCTTTAAACTTTTTTCGACATATTTTTTTTCCATCGCCAGTGGTGCGAAGCTCTGCTCCACCTCTGTGTAAAAATTACTAACCAATTCGTCATATGAAATAGCCAAAACAGTTTAAAGTTTCTTCACGTGATGACCTTGCTTAGGAAATTGATTCTTGCCATAATTTTTTCGGAAAATTGCCCGCTCGAAAAAATCTTAGGATCATGTGAACAATCTCCACCCCCTCGAATTGTTTTAGAGGGTGTGGTTGGTGGTTTGCATTTAGTTATTTTGCTGTTTTGCAAATTTAACGATGCGAATTTTGATGCAACGGATAAAATTCACATGGGCCAAATCCTTATCGGCCTTTGTGTAGTGGAAGACGTTAAATTTTAGTATGTGATGTTATTTTATTACAGACACCCTTTGCCAGTCTGCGTCTTCATCGATCTTTACTGAAGGTAATCAGAAGGTCAAAAGTATCATAGTAACCGAGGTTACAGTCAGGAGTCCCTTCATTACGTATTCCAGTCAAAATCCTTGGAATTTTCTAGATATGGAAGTGATAATGATAAAAGAAGTGTTGATGTCATTTTCAATTAAAATCGATACGGGTTACCTTTCGATACGGGTTACGTTTCGCCCTTCATCGAATGACTAATTTTTTCTAGCTTTCACCAATGACTTCCAAGTTCAGTTTGCAAATTTAGCACGGTATAAGACTTCGTGAATGTTTATGGAATTCGCGTCAATCACTCAATAATGCTGATCCTGAAACCTTTACTCAAATTAAAAGCTATAGGCCTGTCTGAGTCTTCTCTAGCGCTATAAGTTACACGCTTTAAAATGATAAAAGCTCCTAGCTTAGAAGAGAAAATGTATTTGCTCTTTGATTAAGAAGAACTCATTTCTCTCATGTTAACTCTGAGCTCGTGTTCTCTAAGTAAGCTTTACTGAATCTTCAGTCTAACGTGGAGTGGAGATCCATTTGTATGGCAAATATACTCAAAAATTAGCCGGTTTCGAAATGGTTCAAAAATTGTAAAAGTGAATTATCACATGGTCAGAAAAGCGCAAGTTTGATGATATTAAATCATGGACGGTGATATAATTTGGTTGGTGCTAGCTGCAATCAGTGCATTGGTGTTTGCTGTTGGAATCGGGGCGAATGATGTTGCGAATGCCTTCGGAGCGTCAGTGGGCTCTGGGGTGCTCACTTTACAACAGGTAGGTCGTTGTGCAGTTAATCGCTTTTGAATGAGTAGTGTAGTGTTAGTTAAGTCACCAGGGTTATTTTAAGGCGTACGTTTTTGGAGCCCTGTTCGAAACACTCGGAGCTTTGATGCTGGGTGGTGAAACTTCGAAAACTATCAGCACAGACATTATTATGATTTCTCAATTCAATAGTACGCAAAACATGCTCATGGCCGGAGAAGTTGCTGCTTTAGTTGGCGGAAGTACATGGATTCATTTTTGCACCTTCTTAAAGCTACCCATTTCTGGAACTCACACAATAGTTGGAGCGACAATGGGCTTTGCCGTGTTCAGTGAAGGTCTCAAGTCCATCAACCTCATATCGATGCTCTACCTTATGATTGTCTGGCTTATTTCGCCAATCCTCGCAGGTAAGCGAAGATGAATAACTTTTTGTCATTTAATTGAAGCTTTTTGGCTCAGAAGCAAAAGTTTTGCAAAATAATCAGCAGCGAAAACAATGTTTTTTCTCCATCCCCGTCTTGACTATTTTTCTGCGTGGTAAAAATACATTGAAGTAACGCAAAAGGTAATGATAAATCTTAACATTAATTTTGTTATAGGCGTGATATCTGCAGCTCTGTTTTCAATTATACGCTTCTTCGTGCTGGATACAAAAAATCCCATGAAACCAGGACTAGCGGCGATGCCTTTGTTTTACATGATCGCCATATTTCTCAACTTGCTGTCAATCCACTTTGTTGAAAATTCACCTATAGAAAGACTTTTCGGGAGGACGTTTCCTGTCATCGCTAGAGCTGCCTTCAGGTATGTTTGCGTTTTTTCCTCCATGAGATCTTTTTTCGTTTCTAATGAGTCACAAATGGATTTCATTTTCAGTGGGTTGGTGGCCATTGTGGTTGCAATCGTGGTTCGGTTGCTTTTCGTCCCTTTTACACGACGGAAGATAGAAACACAGCGGAAACTGATGGAAAACATGTCTTATAAGGAGAAGTAAATGCACGAATAATGGTGTTGTAAAAAATTTAAGAGTAGTAAGGTGATGAGGATAGTAAGCTCTATACCTTACCATTCAAAGATAATACTAGTTAGATAAAGAATAGCACGGTTTAAAGCGTTTAAGATAGCGAATATAAGATAATGAAGAAAAAAAGTATTATTATTTTTAGTGAGTTGATTCAATTGTATTAATTGATGAGGTAAATGAGGTCTATTTTGTGCTGTGTGCTAGAGTGAGGAAGCGTGAGAATGTGACGGACACTCTGAAGTTCTACTTCAGTCTGAACAGGTGGTCTACTTCCAGCAACAGTGCCCTACAGAGGAGGAGGGACATGCGCAGGCGGAGACTACATTTCAAGGCCATACTGCCTGACAACACGCAGGTGCAGTGTTCACTAGGCAAAAATACACCTCCCCCTCACTCTTCCTAAAACATACAACACAACATCATTAGGTTAATAGCAACACAGACGCTTCTTTCATCCGACGTATATACTCTGGATGATCGATCGTATGATTCGAATATTGATATTCGAGAAATGTTCCAATTGTCACCTTTTGATTTTCTGTGTGTAGGTTTATGGGGCTGCTACTCTGTCTGTGAACTCAATTAGGGACGAGCTTCAATCGTCGACCTCGCTCGAGAGTATTGCGTCTGAGAATTCAATATTCCAAGGTGGTTCTTCAGTTTCTTTTTCGGACACTCCGTTCCAGCCTAAGCGACGATCAATGAATAAACAAACCGATTTCCGATTTCGTCGCGACGCTGAATTACTGAATAACTCAAGTTCAATTGTATCTAGTTCTGTTGCGCAAGAAAGTAATTCAAGAGTTTGCAAATATGAGGGTGCGGTTTCTTCGAGGCTGCGTGATGCTCGGAAAGACGATCTGAAGAAGAAGAAAGCGAAACTTAGAAGGAATTCGTACCAAGTGAACAGAAACCTAAGATATCAAGTGATCAACATTAACAAAAATTCTGGCGGCATTTTAAAAAGGTTCGATGAGTATCTTGCAGTTTTCGGAACCTAATTGCACATACTATGATGATGCAAAAAATTGTTCTGGATGTTTTTTTTTCTCCGAAAGTTTTAAGATAACACTCTTCAAGTGTTTCGAAAAGCAAATATGTAAGCTCTTCTTTGTAATTCAGATGGATCCCAGCACCTAACGGGATTAAAAGAAAGTGCTACTCCTGTCCTGACAGTCTGTTCAACAAAGACCGCTCTTCGAGAGCCCAACTAGACCCATCTGAGCTGGTAGGGGGCAATGAGATGACGTCATCTATCTCGACCAACAACCAGGTGTGGTTCTCCAACCCAGAGATAGAGCAAGAGGAAGAATATGCCAAAGGGAGGAGTTATAGACAGTCACTAAATGTCATCAACCAGTTGAAAGAGGACGGGGAGGACAGAAAAAGCAAGGTTGGAAATCACACTTCGATTCAGGTGCAGTTTCACTTAAAAGTTGAAATGGTTCATTAAAGCCTTCTATAATCGACACAAGTTTGATTCGGCACTGAATATGAAATACTACCTGTAAAGAAATCCTCGACATTTAACTTTTACGTTTTTGTAAAATAAGGAGATATGCGCCAGCAATAAAAAAAGCTACTATCTCAAATTATCCCCATAGAATTTTATCCTCCCGGGCGTGTTTAATTTCATCTCTCGATACTAGTGCAAATTTCTGGAAGGTTGTCTTTCCAGAAAATCCATTAGATTTTACAAAGATAATTTAGTAATTCTGTAAGTCATCGACAATCTGGCATTGTGCACTGTTAAAAAACACATTAAATTACATTTCTTTACATTTGCGAGAGCAAGTTTCTTGTAATTGGCGAAGACTTTTTTCCTGTAAACAATATTTCCTACACATTTTTCTCTTCTTTGACTACTTCTTCTCTCATTTTAACATCTTCCAGGTTCCTTCTCATTTTTCTTAGGGGTAACTTCATTGCCTTTGCCCCCCTAAGGTCTGGGGTTTGAGTCTCTGCCGGACCTTCTTGTTATAGTATGTATGCAATTGAAAAATAATTTTCAGCAAAAGATGATTTGTCTGACTTCGCTTTTCTTACGACGCGTTTTCTGACGCATAGATGTCAACATACCTCTCCCCATACAAAAGAGCTTGTGGAGATTGCCAGGGTGGTTGATAAGTGGAAGTAGTAGGTCCTCCGAGGCATTTGCTCAGTTCTTTTCGTTAACATTCACGCAACGCATGTTTAACGGTATCTGCTTCGCCTTTGTCTAGGCAGTCTGGGTAATTGACTGCACCTATCCGAGCGAAGGCGGTCTTGCATGGTGATAACTACCCCGTCTTAAACTGATTGGTGGTGATTTCTCCCCTCCTTCTTTCATGTTAATCTTTCGCCACTTTTTGTCTGTTGATTGTACCTTGACCATTTATTATTCCGACCACTAAAAGTGGAGAGGATCTTTTTTTTTCGGGTAAGTTTTCTAGTTTTTACGCAAAGTTAGCTACCACATAAAATCATCGGAATGGTTCGAGTGATACATCATATCTGCTCTAGCGATCAGCTTAGTGTAATATTACGAACCTTCTTTTTTTCTAACCTAACTCCCAAATAAATGTGTTCATTAAAAGTGATTATGAGTCTAATTTTGAATTAATGAAGCGAGCGAGCAAATAAAGCTTATAATTAGAGGTTAAGCTTCCATTGAAGCCCCATAAAAAATTCTCCCGTAAAAAAGTGTGAAGTTTTTTAGCGCTCTCTTGGTAATAAAAAAAAATTGCAAATTTATATTAGATTTCTATTGTTTCTCTGATCGTGTTTTGGAAGAAAGCTTTTGTCGTAAATGCCTTAGTATACAATGAAAATTGTATGAAATATACCTGAGTATAAATATACCCCTATTTATTTGTTGTTGTTTCTTTTTTGTTAAAATTTTGGTCCGAAACCTTCTTTGCTATAAGCTCAGCAACCGGCTATCCTTGTTCATTACCCTTGCCATGAGAAAGGGTATTGCAATCGGGAACTTTGTTCACTGATTAGTCAAAATTAGAAATTGTAAATTCATGTTCAGGTCATAATGATTTCATTTTTTTTGCGTCGCCGGTTTGGTTTGGATGTAGCGAATACGGCTGGGACGGCAAAGTTCCTGGGTTCGAATCTGACAGGCTTGTAAATTTTTTGGTATTTTATTTGTCTGCTTATGCTTTGACTGCTTAGTTGCCAAATCGTAGAAGTTTTTTTTTTGCTGTACGCAATTTACATTGTAGTTGCTTTTGGTGCTTTGATTTACTTCTGCTGCTTGCAATTTTACTAGCCTTGACTTCGTATTTTTTCTGTTAATGTTTTTTGCTCAAAAATTATATTCTGCCCAAATGATTTCGGCCTATATTTTATCAGCTTAGTGGCCTAATTTTGAGTCGTTTCTAGGAAAACATAATTTTTATGCTCGCCTCTGATATGGTATTTGATTTCTTATGAAAAGTTACACTCCCACAAATTATTTAATTATGATTCGCACCAATTCTGTTTGCAGTGTCTTGATACAATTCAGTTTCTATGATATGTGTTGTAAAGATAATGTATTCAGTATTTCAGTAAAAATTCTTTCACGATTTCATCGTTCCTTGCATCTGTATCTTTTTTTCTTTGCTTCAGAAATTCCAAGAACCCAAAGAAATGGGCAAGCGGATTCTGTTCACGGAGCCAACTCCAGCTGAGTTGGAACTATTTAGAAACGAGATCAACAAAAGAGACAAACCTGAGTGTGCTTTCATATTCAAACATCTCCAAATTCTCACTGCGTGTTTCGCAGGTCAGTTTTTTTCTGCAGTTGATAGACGGAATCATCAAGCTATCAACATGCTAAATTAGTTGGTCTTTATACGGTATCAATGATAAACTGATTTATTGGGTCCCATGTTTACTTGTCACATGTTGCTATTTTTTCTGGAAGTTATCCTAAAACTGTTTCAAAAAACTGGAACTGGAAAAACTACGTACTTTTTTTTGAAAGATTTCCCAATGTACATGTCTGAATCAGCGCCTGATAAGATCACTCTGTGTTTAGCTTTCGCACATGGTGGAAATGATGTCAGCAATGCAGTGGGACCGCTGGCCACAATGTTCATGCTCACCTTCGGAGACGACAGCTGGAACAGTGTGTTGAAGCACGACTGGAACTCCTTATCCACCGACTGGAAAGTTTCTTTCCTAATCAGCAACTCACTCAGTCTCTTTGGAGGACTTGGTATCTCTCTGGGTCTCTGGATCTGGGGTTACAGAGTCATCAAGACTCTAGGAGAGGACCTTACTTTCATAGTCCCCTCTAGCGGGTTCACGATCGAAATCGGAACGGCGTTGACTGTCCTGTTAGCGTCGAGTTTTGGAATTCCAGTGTCTACAACGCATTGTAAAGTGGCAGCTATAGTTGGAGTTGGTTATATAAGGACGAATAAGAATGTAGATAAGAAGATCCTGAAGAAGATTGCGACTGCATGGGTCGTAACTATTCCGGCTGCTGCCACTCTGTCGGCTGTGGCAATGTCGGTTCTGAGGGAGTTTGCGTGAAATTGAAACGACCGCATTTCCTAGTTTGTTCATCCTCAATCAAAGCCTAGTCGAGCAATAATGAATAGCCATTAAAAGCAAGGTTGATCACTGTTACTCGTTTTATTTAGTTTCATTATATGTTTGTAAAGAAGATAAATTTATCGTTTCCTTTTTGTTTTAAACAAGCTCTACTATTTCAGATCAATTTGCTTGAGAAAAGTTCAAATGGAATGGAATTTTTATGAAGAGAGTTGGAATGCACGATCATTCTCTTTTCACGAAGTCTCTTTTTACCATGTGTGTCCTATTCGCCGTAAACTTTATTTCGGAATCTTACGAGGAAGGTAGCGACAAAGTAACAACAGACTATTTGGTCGTTTTTCACTCTTTCTACTTGAAAAGTCAGCGTCATCATTTCATAAATCACTCAATTGAGTTGCATAACAGAAATTCTGCAGCTCGCATTCGGTTCAGTTTTGTCGATCGAAACAATCGAGCGTATGAATCTATTCCAAGTGACTTTGAAATTGTACGCGTTCTGAAAGAAGCCGAAAAGTTTTCACTAGCGTCACTTAAGCATCGTCTAATAAAATCAGTGACTTTTGATAGGGTTATAAAACTGAATTCAAAAACGAAGAAAACTCATAGAAACTCCTCATTTAGTTCACGCAGCCTGCTGAAAGACGATTCAAGTTCGTATGCTTCTAAAAAAGACTACCCAAAATACCTTTCAGATGCTCGAAGACTGCATAAAGTTGGTGAAACGGGATCGGGGGTTTCAGTTGCTGTGTTTGACACAGGAATAACAAGTAGGACTAAGTACTTGGCCAATGTGAAGTCGAAGAGTCAATGGACAGATGACAAGAAAAGCACTGACATGGTAGGTCATGGTACTTTTGTAGCCAGTGTCATTGCTTCGACGGATCCGAAATGTCCAGGAGTTGCACCGGATGTTGATATCCACATTTTCAAGGTGTTCAATAAGAAAAAAATCTCGCGAACATCCTGGTTTCTGGATGCATTTAACTACGCCATTTCCATGAAAGTTGACGTAATCAATTTAAGCATCGGTGGTCCAGATTTTGAGGACCGTTTGTTTGTTGACAAAGTGTCCCAGATTGTTGCTAGTGGTATTGCGTTTGTCTCGGCTATAGGCAATGACGGGCCCGTTTTTGGAACTTTGAATAATCCTGCGGATCAGGCGGAAGTTATTGGCGTTGGAGCTGTCGATCAAAATGATGTCATCGCTTCCTTTTCATCTCGGGGAATGACATCTTGGGAGCTTCCGAGCGGTACAGGAAGAGTTAAGCCGGATTTGGTTGTCACTGGAACTGACGTTCGAGGTCACTCAATTGGAGGAATTTGCACAACCATGCGAGGAACTTCAGTGGCTTCTCCGATTGTTGCTGGGTCTGTTGCATTGCTCATTAGCGCCGCAAGGCGAAGATCATTGATTGCAAACCCGCCTTTGATTAAGCAAATGATTACTTCGTCAGCAGAAAAGCTCCAAAATTCTAGTATGTGCGAGCAAGGAAACGGGAAGCTTAACTTAATCAGTGCGTTTGAAAACCTCAGATCCATGTCTCCTGATATAACATTGTTTCCGAGTGAATTGGACATGACTGATAATAGTTCGTACGCGTGGCCTCTGAATGCGCAGTCAATTTACTTCACAGGAGCACCAACAATGGTTAACGTGACAATAACAAATAGTATGAACATTGATTCCAGAATGATACTTGTGCCCATTTGGAGCCCAACGACGGAGAGTGCGCAAAAAGTATCCATGAGTTTTGATTATCCAGCGGTTTTATGGCCTTGGGGAGGGTATCTGGGAATCCGAATTAGTGTTCTGGTAAGTGCGAAAAATTTCTCCGGTATTGTTGCTGGTTTGATTCGTTTGAACATACACAGCAAAGCTATTAACTCAGGTATGCAACTGAGGACTGGCCATGAAGTGGTTCTTCCTGTAAAACTAAAGGTAATTCCGGCTCCGAAAAGAGATAGACGTATTTTATGGGATCAGTTCCATAGCTTGAAATATCCAAATGGATATTTTCCAAGAGATGATCTGAGCGATAAACGTGACATGTTAGATTGGCACGCAGATCACCCGCATACGAACTTCAGATCTGTTTTTGATCTACTAGTTAACGCGGGATTCTACGTAGAGATATTATCAAGCAGTTTAAACTGCTTCGACGCTACGAACTATCAGACATTGATTATAATAGACAGTGAAGACTATTTCACGACTTCTGAGATTGAAAAATTGCATACAGACGTAACAGAAAAGGGACTGTCAGTGTTTGTTGTGAGTGAATGGTGGAATTTAGAAGTTATGGACAAGATCAAATACTTTGACGAAAACACAAGAATGGTTAAGGCACCGTTGACTGGTGGAAGCAACGTGCCCGCTCTGAATTGGCTTTTAAGTAATTTTCAAGTGGCATTATCAGACCATGTCTACAACGGACAGGTGAGCTTTGGAACCGGAACATTCGAACTGTTTTCGGCTGGCAGTATTTTAAGCTTCCCTGAGAACGGTTATCTTCTAAGAGCGAATTTGGAAGATGAAGCAGCGCATGTTTTGAATGAAAAACGAAGACTAGTTGAGGGTGTGCCAATAGCAGGATTTGTGGATTTAAACACACCTAACTCAGGTCGTTTGGCTGTTCTAACTGATTCAAGTTGCTTGGAAGATACTCGTGATTCGAAGTCTTCGAAGAAGTGCTACGAACTATTCCTTGATATGCTGAATTACACTACAATGCGAACTTTGAATGAGACAATTTTCGAACAGTTCAGAAGGTCGAATTTGAACATTGCGAAACCAACAACTTCTAAAACTAATTTGGAAAAAAGTGAACTAATTTTATATTCAAGATCAAAGCTGCGAAATTCATCGGGTGTCTTTGATAGATCACCAAATTGCCCTTATGTAGAAGAATGGCTATCAGTTTCAAATAACGAAGTGCCAATTAGCCGGGCATTGTATGAAAACATGAAAGAACGGTTGGAGTTAAATTTGAGCTCATATGTGCGACTTTCGACTGAAAATGAAGCGTCAGTTCTTTCTGGGTTGTACGACGGAAAGGACATAAATGTGACTTATTGGAGAAAATATCGCCCGTACAATCAAAGAGTGCTGGTCAGTGAAAGCCAAAATGAGTTGACCATTTTGCTATCAATAGTATCTTTATCTTCTTTAGTCATCGCCGTGCTTCTATTCCGTGCAATCATTTTACGAAAGAGAAAGTTCAGAGTTTTTCTCAGACGGGCGGCTAGAGCTGTTAGCAGACTTATTTTATCATAGTTTTTTTAAATGGTTAGTCAGATAATTATTTAGTTGAATAAACGTTTTGAAGTCAAGTTTCCAAATCGTTTACAGCAGTACACGATTGTTCCAGCTTGCTTGTCGAACAAATGAAAGCAATTTTTTGAATTTCGATCAATTTTTGAGTTCTTTCTCCCGGAATTTTGTTTTGACCGCATACTGGGAAGGAATTCTGTATTCGGGTGTTTTTTTTTCACGCAAAAATACTTTGAACATTGTTTGGTATAATTGATTTTTTTGTAGTTACCTCGTCGAGGGCAGCGCATTTAGTTGTATCATCAATCACTGCATTAAATCTACAACTGCATTTACATTCAAAATCAGTTGCAAGCAAAAACATGTTAAAACAAAAGTAGTCGCAGGGAAAGTTCCGACTACATTCATAAAAAAAGTAGCTCATCGAGTATAATCTTATTTATAAAATTTTAGTAAATTAATCATAAATTGCTCGTTGTCTTTGAAAATAAAATAATAAAGTTGAAAATTTTAAAAAATGGTTCCAAAGCATAATTTGAACTGTTAAAGAACCGCTAAACAAAGATTCAAAAGCTTGTTTTCCTGGAGGAGTTACACTAAAAAATCAATTTTCATCGAACAAACTTTACCCTCTCAAAATAAGAAAAAAACTTGGTGAAAAGCTTTGTAATTTTTTGTATCTTATAGTTCGTTTTTAAGAGTAATGATGGTAGTGAAGGCTCTTATATAGGTCTTGCTGATTTTTTTGTTTTTTCTTGCAGGAAAATTTGATGCACTTAGGTATAATGCTTTTTTTGAGTTCAATTGAAAATCATCTGCTTAAAGTGACGGAAATAGCACTCCAAAACACGAACGTGGAAATGGCACCAAAAAACGTGAACGTGTTCCAGTTTCGAAAGTGGAATTTATTTTTAAGATTTCTCAGCGAAATAAGAACTTTACCTATTGATCCAGTTTTCTCAAGTTGGGCTCATGTTATCAAAAAAGCGCCAGTCATAAATTGTTCTAGAAATTCAGAGAGCTTAAAGAGAATCTATTTTTTTTTTGAAATTCGAAAGTTTTTCAAGAAATTCAGTGGCTTTTTAATGTTTACTTGCGCTCATTACTCTTTTCCTATCTTCGATTGGCTATGTTTAAAGATGCCGTTTTTTAATTATTACTTTTTCGCTTTGAATGATTTCGGCTCATGTTATATTGGTTAAGTTGCCTCATAACAGATCGTTCAAAGCAATATACAATTTTTCGGGTAACCAACTAGTTTTACGGAATCTTTTGAATCAATTTACTTATGGTTTGTATGGAATCAAATGTCAGACATTATATCGCGCATCTGGCGGAGGGGTAACGCATCTGCCGAAAAAGTCAAAGGTCATTGGCTCGAATCCGGCCACGACATGTTTTTTTCTGTAACCGGCGTCAAAAAATCTTTGTCGGACTTCTGTTTGTCTGCTTTTTTTGAAGGCTTAATTGTCGCAGCACCAATTTTATTCAAAATATTGGCTGGGTTTACTCATCTTAAAAAGCATTCTGTGTTTTCTGGTTTTGCGCAAGTAATTGAGCTCCAAGAAGTTCTGCCTATTTTTTGCTTTTTTTGTTTTTTTTGTCTTTCATTAAAATTTTTTGGAAGTTGTTCTCTTTATAAATTCTAAGAGTGTTCTGTAGGTTAATTACATTAGTAACACTTGTGCCTGAGACGACAAGTATCAGAAGATCGCGATATCAGTCGGGACCTGTTTTTTTTTTCGATATTGTAGTCTTTCGTGTCTGCTAATTTTTGTTGGCTTAGGTCCCGTAGAAAGGTTCGGTTTCTTGAAGCGTTTTGGAAGCTATTTGTTAAAATTTTGATGGTACAGGAAATTTTTGCAGAAAATTTAAATCTTAAAAAAGCGATTTTTTGTGGAGTTTTTTTTTAAAGTTTTTGATTTGTCTTTTCATTTGCTGTTAATCATAGTCATACATTTTTGTATCGCAAGTGATGCGAAACTCCGTCTTCTCTCTCTTTTTTAATTATCGAATAAGCCTAAGTTTTTTTGCTTTTCTTCAGATCTCACCGCGTAAAAAAGAAGAGTAAAATCGAAAAAAAAATTGTTTTTTTTTTTGGTTTTATTTTTTGTGGTCGGACTTTTTTTGATAATTGCACAGCAACAGGCTATCCTTGTTTTTGCTAATTGCTGCTGAGCCTTTTATACTACTATCCTATGTTTTTTAGTTTAGCTTTTGGAGGTCGTACTCTTAAAATTGAAATATTTTAGTGCTGTGATAATTCTACATGATAGTGATGTCAAACAGACAGGTGCGGATCTATGCCCCCCCCTCAGGGATTCGAGCCCAAGGTCCCTCCTTGGTACCTTTTAAGAAATCCAATTTTGGCGACCGACCCTAAAATTTTTCTAAAGGTGCCTTTGGAGCCAATAAAAACTATTTTTTTGAGGGGAAGCGCGCGCCCAAAAAAATGCAATTTTTTTCCCAAAAACGGAACAAACGTTTTTTCAAATAGGGTCTTTAAAGTGTTCTGGGACCGCTCGGACACTCAATTTGGTCGACCTAAAAACTTTTAAATCCTAGATCCGCCTCTGCATACAGAATCTGACAAATTGAATTTTATTTTCAATTTTTTTTCGATATTCAGTAATTGAGAATGTTTTGGCACATGCAAATAATTTCACTTAATTGAATTTTTTTTTAGTTTTGGTTGATTTCAGATAGATTTTTTGGTACTTGTAAAGTCCACATATTTTTTGCGTAACGATTTGGTACGCTGGGTTTTTTTTGTATCATGTTTTTATGATAGTGTAAATCTAGACTGACCATTTTTTGCTCCGGAGACCAGCTCTGAAAATCTGAGCATATGAAATTGTGGGAAATTGTTTTTCTTATTTGTCGACTCAAGTTGAGATTAGTTTGCTGTCAAATAAAATTGACTTAAATTGTTTGTTTGCTTATTAATAACTTCACTGTGACCATAGTTTGTATTTTGAAGTCAGCATTTAATTCGCTTTATTCTATTGACTAAAATGCGACGTGGTCGTGCCTTCGGAGGACCTCCGCCTCGTTATTACAGACCACACACTCGTTTTGTTCCTGTGCCAGTTGCAATACCTGTCGCCGCTCCAGGGTTTGTTCAATAGCCAATTAATCACTTTCATCCTGAAAGGACCAAAACTGGGTTTTAAGTGTAACAGATTCTTAAGCACCCTCGTAATGTTTTCTGTCTTCTGGAAATGTATTAGGTCCTAAAATAGAAAACAAAAGTTATCTAACTACCCTTTTTGGTTGATAGGCGTTATTCACCACTAATAAATACCATGTCATGTATACTGACTGAGAAGTCATTAGAGCGGGCTCTCATCCTAAAAGAGCGGTTAAATCTTTGAAAGCCAAAGCTTGGAATTTTTTCGGTGTAAATATTGAATGCCCTTTGTTTTGTAGTATGGTAGCAAGTGCAGCAGTTGTTGGTGTGGCCGCAGGAATGGCTGCCTCATCCAGCAGATGCTCCAGATCTTCACAACAGGGGTTTGTACTTCACCTTCCAATCCCATATCCTTGTACAGTTCGTTTTAGATGACATATTCACAGTTCATGGAATGAAATGGTGAATCTGATATTTAATTAAGCTTGCTTAGATAATTAACGATTTCATATCATGGAATCCCTAGCATTTAGATGAAGCAGGGGCGGATCTAGGATTTTCTCGAGGGGGGGGGGATTTTCAAAAAAATTTTGAAAATTTTGACGACCTTTTTTTTAGGTGGACCAAACCGATTTTCCGAGCTCTACTAAAGCACTAAAAAGATGCTGTTTTGGCTAAATTTCCTGTGCTGCAGGCAAATTTTTGAAAAAGCAGGTCAAAAAAGCCGTTTTTGGGCATTTTTTGGAAAATGTTGACAAAAAAATCGCGTTTTTTTGGCGCGCGCTCCCCCTCAAAGTTAGTATATATTGGCGCCTTAAGAAAAAATTTAGGATCGGTCGGCAAACAATGGATTTCTTAAAAAGTACCAAAGAGGGGACCCTTTGGGTCGGCAGGGGGTCGAATCCCTGAGGGGGGGGGGGCGTCCGCACCCCCGCCCCCCTAAATCCACCCCTGCTTATTGATCCAGTTTTAGTTAATTATGTAAAAATGTTATTCCCAAAAATTCTTGAACTGCTGAGCTAAAAAACGTGATTTTTTTTCTTCGGAATTCGAAACTTTCAAAATAATCATAAAAATGTTTATCTTGGGTTCTCTTTTTAAAAATTTTGCAGCTCAAATTCTATTTGGTTTCAAATTTTGTTGTTTTCAAGAATTCAGTTTTTTTTATCTTTTCACCTGAGCGAAAAACAAGCCTCACGTTGTCGCACAATCGAAAATTTAAAAAAAATATTTAGAACATAAATTTGTAAACTATCGTTTTGGTGCGACTGCTGAGACTGGGGAAAAATGTATTCGAGCCGTTCGGCCAAAAATGGATTTCTTAAAAAGTACCAGAAGGACCTTTTTTTGTTTTAGGTCGACCGAATTGAAAAAATTGAATTTTGAAAAAACAGTCCAAAAAGGCACTTTTTGAAAAATGTTCCAAAAATTCCCGTTTTTTCGGCGCGCGCTCCCCCTTCCAAATTTGTATATATTGGCGCCAAAGGCGCTTTAAGTTTTAGGGTTGGCCGGCCAAAACTGGATTTCTTAAAAAGTACCAAAGGGGTATTAATAACTTCACTGGGTCGGCAGGGGGTCGAATCCCTGGGGAGGGGGGGCGTCCGCCCCTGAGATGAAGTATTTTTCGTTACATAATTTTTTTCTTTATCTGTATTTTGGTCGGTATTTTTTTAGTAATTTAAATCGTTTCAGTAATTTTTTTTGGTTTCCATTTTTTTTCGGTAGTTTCCAAAGTAATATTTGCTCCATCGGTGAATCGATCCCTGGAAGTTATTTTTCGCCCCCGGTCCTGCTCGGTGCAGGACCAACCGTTGTGGAGGGAGATGACCCTGGAAGATCGTGGGCCCGGCCAGTCCCCATATCGCTATATTAACCGGAATTGAGTCTGTCTTAGCTGCTCGTGTTACACTTTGATGCTGAAAGTGCAACGCGAATTATTTTCTCGTGGCGAAATATCTCGCTCTCCAAAATCGTTCCAAATTGAATTGAGATAAGTAATTGGTCTTATTAAGTCCAAAAATGACAAGCTCTAACGCTTAAATTTTGATACTTGCAGGCTAAAATTCATAGGTTGTCATTATTTTATTCAAAAAAGTATTCGAGACCAGTTAAAGGGTAGTCGGAACTTTCAGGTCTTTGCATGATACGAGCCGAGCGAGCAGTCTTTTGTTTTGGTTACTTTGATTTCCTGAATATTTTTCTAACTGTCTGGATATAATTATATCAGAAATATTGGTCAGAGATTGGTAAAAATTTGGGATTGGTAACATAAAAATGGTAACAGAGAGGAATATTTTAATGAAATTTGTTGCATACAGGAAGCATCTTTTTCAAGTGTAAATGAAGGAAATCAACTTGCGAGAACTCATTAATCCCAAACACTGATCTATTCTAGTAAATTTCTATTCTAGTAAATCTATCCATTATTTGGAGTCATTAGGTTGAGAGTGATAAGAAAACCAACGCATAGCAGATTGTCCAATTAGTTCAACATTTGGGATTTCATCGATCCTAAATACTGATCAGTAATTGGGTTTCCATTAATCCCAAACACTGATCTATCTAGTAAATTTTTATTCTAGTAAATCTATCCATTATTTGGAGTCATTAGGTTGAGAGTGATTAGAAAACCATTGCATAGCATATCGTCGAATTAGTTCAGTATTTGGGATTTCATCGATCCCAAATACTGATCAGTAATTGGGTATCCATTAATCCCAAACACTGATCTATTCTAGTAAATTTCTATTCTAGTAAATCTATCCATTATTTGGAGTCATTAGGTTGAGAGTGATTAGAAAACCAACGCATAGCAGATTGTCCAATTAGTTCAGTATTTGGGATTTCATCGTTCCCAAATACTGATCAGTAATTAGGATTCCATTAATCCCAAACACTGATCTATTCTAATAAATTTCTATTCTTGTAAATTTCTATTCTAGTGAAATCAAATCATGTATTTAAAATATATAATTTTAAAGGCTTCTACACATATAGATATATGTAAAAGGAATCCGCAAACAAAATGCGGATTCCAATTACAATTTGCGGATTCCACTTACAGTTTGCGGATTTCACTTACAGACGCGGATTCCGTAACAGCTCAATTTAACGTTACAAATGTTTGTTGAATCCACAATTTGTTCTGGATTCCGCAAATACAGTTGCGGATTCCGCAAATTCGCCTATTTTTCGAGCGATTTTGAGCGGTGCAATGATTTAGGTATTTGTTTGTGGAATCCAAAACAGCATAGAATATCAAAGAAAAGTAGCCATGTTGCGGATTCCGCGACAAATCTGATTTTGGCCTGTTGCGGATTCCGCTTACAATGCAGAGAACGCACAGTTTGGCCTCGTAGTGCAATCATAAATTGGTCTAGAGATTTTTTCGAAACTAGAACTTCTTTGGAATTTCGAAAATTCTTTTTTTAATGCCCTTGTAAAAATCGAGGCCTTGAGCTCAAAATATTAAGATATTTAACCTGTGATCATTGTTTGCAAAGTGCTGAAGTTTGAGACTTAAGAGTTTGTCAATTGGCGGAAATCATTGTGTTGACTCATAATGAAAAAAGCGTGTAACTTGTAATTCCTGTTTGATAAAACAGGTATTTAATCTGCAAGTGTGTTGGCGATAAGCAAGTGTTTTGCTAGAATCTGGTGCTAGACTGTTTTCCCGCGTAAACAATGTTGTCCACAGGACTCATTGGAATCCTGGTGGTGCCTTGGTTTATGATAAATTCACTTTTTTGTGTCTTTTGCACACTTAGCTTAGCGGTAACGAATACGCCTGGGATGGCAAAGGTCCTGTTTTCGAATCTGACCAGGATTTTTTTCAGACGCAACGACTTAAAAACAGGCCACTAAGTCAATATTAATCAAACCCAAATTTAGTAAGCTGATAAAAAAAATACGAAAAACAATAAGTAAGGGAAAATTTAACAAACCGAGCCGGTAAACTTAAACCAGCGTGAAAAGCAAATTTCGATTAGGCCGGATTTTTAAAATAGTAAAAACAACTGCAGTGAAAATTGTTTACAGCTAAAATAAACAACTCTTAGATTTTTCGAACCTAAATTTCTATCAATTGATAGTTTTTTTCAATCGGTAGATATTTAGGTTCGAAAAATCTAAGATGTTTATTTTAACTGTAAAAAGTTTTCACTGAAGTTATTTTAACCATTTTAAAAATCCGGCCTAATCGAAATTTGCTTTTCTGGTTAGTTAAAATTTTACCAGCTCGGTTTGTTAAATTTTCACTTTTTTCTTATTGTTTTCTTTTTATCAGCTTAATAAATTTGGGCTTGATTAATATTGATTTAGTGCCTCTTTTTGCGTCGTTACGTCCGAAAAACGTTTTTGTGCATGTGTGTGCTTAACTTTTTTTAAGACTTTAGAATTGTTTCGAATTTCTTTTCGGCATGAGAGGTTTCTGCTCAGGTTTTTCGGCTTTGTTACCGCTTGGTAATAATAAATTCAAACCCAATGAAGCATCTGGCGTAGAGGTGAAACAACTGCTTGATACGGCCAAGATTTGAGGTTCAAATTCGGCCGGACTCTTTTTTGCAAACTACAGTTTTAGGTTTTTCGACTGTCGTCCGTCTGTTTGTTTTTGTCGGCTTAGTTCCCGTAATTCAATGCATTTTTTTGAGGCATGTTTTACGTGCAAATAGAAAATTTTGGCTAATTTAGATTATTGCTTTTTTGCTTACTTTTGTCTGCTTTATTCCACAAAGAGGATTTTTTGAAAAGTTGGCGTCTGTATAGCATTCCCAAATCTCTTTGTAGTTTATAATGGTGCTAGTAATTTTGTTCCGGTTATTTTGGCGAAAAATGTTTTTGTGCATGTGTGTGCTTAACTTTTTTTAAAAACTTTAGAATTGTTTTGAATTTCTTTTCGGCATGAAGGGTTTCTGCTCAGGTTTTTTCGGCTTTGTTACCGCTTGATAATCATAAATTCAAACCCAATCAAGCATCTGGCGTAGAGGTAAAACAACTGCTTGAGACGGCCAATATTTGAGGTTCAAATTCGGCCGGACTCTTTTTTTGCAAACTAAAGTTTTAGGTTTTTCTACTGTCGTCCGTCTGTTTATTTTTGTCGGCTTAGTTATCGTAACTCGATGCCTTTTTTTGAGGCCTGTTTTACGTGCAAATAGAAAATTTTGGCTTATTTACATTATTGTTTGTCTGCTTTATTCCACAGAAAGGATTTTTTGAAAAGTTGGCGTCTGTATAGCATTCCCAAATCTCATTGTTGTTTCTAATGGTGCTGGTAATTTGGTTCCGGTTATTTTGGGCTTTTGTTGCAACTTTTATTGACAAAATCAATTTTTTGAAATTTTCCGTTTGATTTTAATAGTTATTCATTTTTATATTGCAAGTGGTG